TAACCTTTTTTCAAAATGTTCTCCTTTTGCGAAAAATGCTTCTATTATAATACTATTTTGCCTGTCTATAGCTCAGACCTCTGTATAGAGGCTCAACTAGAATTTTTGAAATATATAACTTAGAAGTGAGTTTATCCATGTTTTACGACAACAGAGGGGAGAAATTTTCAGAAAAAAACTCTGATACTTATTTCAAATGGTTGTAATTCTGAAAATAATGTAAATTTTTCAAAAATCATAGTTGAGCCTCTGTACAGAGGTCTGAGCTATAGAGAGGCAAAATATTATAATAGAAGCATTTTTCACAAAAGGAGAACATTTTGAAAAAAGGTTATTCTAAGTTAGTTTTTAGCCGAAATACTGTATTTAAATAACTTCTTTTGTCAAAATGTCCTTAAAACAATTTTATGCATGTATTCTAATCTAAGTGACACTAAATATCATGAAAATTATACATTTATGCGCCTTTTTAAAATCACGGTTCCGAACGTAGTCGGATACCTTAAGATTAGTACTCCTCTTCGTGAGATAGTTTCTTTAAGATAAGATATATCTTTATTTTAATTCATCGTTAGTTAATAGGAGTGTTTCAGTTAAAATGTCCAGAGATATCTGTGTGCACGATTATGAATTATTTTCTCAAATATTTAATTTTTGAATTAAGAATTTTGACAGATATCATCAACCTTATTTTTTTTTAAATAATTTTCTTGATAGTGTTCATGTTTTGAGTAGTTTCTTATTTCCCCACTAGATTTCAAAAACCTGTTCTGTAATTTTTAGAACGTTTAATGTAAATTTATTTTATTTGGGGGAAGGGTTAAATTAAATTTGTTCCTGAGTTGAATTGTACATCTTAAATAAACATTAGGCATGACAACCCTTAAAAAAAAACAATACCATTTTCATCAAAGTCATAGTTGTATCCAATACTAAGTTCTCATTAAAACAAGAAAATACTTTCAAATCACGCGAGCCTTTTAAATACGTATAATTATACCTAAAAATCAAGCACCACTTCCCCGGTTCCCATCTAATGAGTTAATTTACAAAAACACGAAAAAACCCAGTCACACGATTAAAAAACCCACTAATAAACGGATTTCTTCCGATTGCGTTTCGTGACTTGACAATAATGCAAATCGGAAGAAGTAAAGCAGAAAATTGGATAGTGGCTAGCATAACAATTTCTCCGAGAGAGAGAGGCAAAGTAGATAGCGTTACAAAATGCTGGAACATTTCGCAAATTTCACAGAACAAATGCTAGCAAATGTTGTCAAGACGACGGAGAGAAATAGAATTTGTGTGAAAAAAGGAGGTGGGGAACATGGAAGAATACTTCTTTCTACGGCCCTTCAACGGCAACAAAGGATAGTTCTGGAAAATCGAAAGCAAGTGGTTGGAGATAAAGGATAAAAAGAAAAAAGTAAAAGACCGGGAAGAAAATATATTTTAGCACAAGCAATGCGAGAGTGTGGAGTGTTAGAAAAACAGAGTTATGTACTAAAGTGCAAGCCGTGCTTTGAATTCTAGAAAATACTACTAACGCCACCTTTTTTTCGAACTTCAAAAGTTTTTTTCCTTTGCTTTAGTACTTTTTTTTGTGTTCCATTTTGTGCTTTTGTATTCAATCCCTTGACTGGTGCTAACGTTTAGTAATTCGAAAATGCGTTTGCATGTGAATGCATATATCTTGATGTTAAGGAAGGAGTAAAAATACAGAAAAAGAAAACACGATGACAAAATCCTTTAACAAGATGCCATGGTTAAAGCATAACCATGCTTTTTTAAAAAAAAAAAATCACCGGATTTTAAAGGTGGAAGCATTTTTTCAAAGGAATTTTTTCAGAATGTGCAAGGTGGTCAATCGAAAGTGATTGTCCGGGGGACAAAAAGAATTCAAACTGCTGTTTACTAACTCTTCCACTTTGTCAGTTGGAGTATTCACCATTGAGATGGGACAGTTTTATTTGGTGAGGATAAAATATAAATGTATATAAGGTTCTGAAAAATGGCAAATACCAGAAAAACTTATAGACAGTAAATAAAGAAAAGTTCAAAGCAAGCAAGTTTCGAAATACAATTCGAAAATAAGCGAATAAATGTTACAAAAGCGCTGTTGAGAGAATAATTTGACTGTTTTACAAATAATAATAAAAAAATCCTTTAAAGCAATTTAATTAAAACAATTCTTGCGGGGGTTTTTTGAAAAAATGTAAGGTAAAAAAAATTTTCGAGTTGTGTAAAAATTATGTGGATGATGAACATTAAATACAAATCTTTCAATAATCATTGATATCGACTCATTTTTTAAAAAATATTAATACAGCACATTTTGTATCTTATTAGGTACCACAGATGAAGCATCATTTAACAGTCCTACAGTGTTAGGGGATATGTCCAATACGCTACATTTTCAAGTATCCACGCAGAAAAAGAGAACTTTCCATAAGTACAAGAAGACAGTCTACACAAGTACTTAAAACCGTCCTGGTGATGCTTTGCTTGGGACAATCAGTAGGCCAGATGAAACTACTCTTGATGGCTTCGCAGTGGACATACTCGAGCTGAACGGCATGTGGCGGGTCGTAAGGCTGTTTTCGGCAAAAGTACGAGAGCCTGAATTAAACGCGGAGGACATTTTCAGACAGAAAAATGCTTCAATTTTAATAAAAATTTGCAACATTATTAACTCATACATCTGTTAACAATATAGCGTTTCTAAAATTTCAAAATATTCCTTGAATATTATTTTTTTTTTATTTTAACACGTGAAAGGACAGCTCATTTAACATTACGGTATAGGAGAAAAAACGTGAAGCACATTTTATGCCATAAAAAATGGCTCAGCTTGGTCAAAAAAGTGAAGAATAAAAATACGTTGTTCTCTAAGGGATAGTGAAGCCAGGATATAATATTAATTTTTCATTTCTTTTATATCTGAAAAAATGTACCTAATTCGGGTCCTATTCTTTAACATTAACCGAAGACAGTCTTAAAGTTTACCTTCCTTGTTTGAATTGTAATATGGCCCAAGCCGCTCCTGCCTACATCTTGGCTTGTTGATTGATTGAATATTAACGTCGCACTGTTCAGCTACACGAGGGCTTTTGGCGACGGACCACGTAATTTTCAACTATGGTCAAGTGACGTGGACGACACCTGAGCTGGCACCCCCCTCTCCTAACTACCACACCACACCAACACATCTTGGCTTGTATTGGTTACCATAAGAGCCGGCTGCTCTCAAGTCCTGCTACAGTTCTTTATTGTTTAAAAACGCACGGGTCCATGGACTCTATCTAGATGATTCTGTCGATCAAGTGGGATAAGAAACAACAACAGTACTTGAAATAAAAACCTAGTGAAATAGAGTATGCTTAAGACATTTCAAAACATACAGTTGCAGTGAGAAGGGAAAAAAAAAAAACGTTACACGAAAAACTTTGGAACTCAAGAGAAGTATTTCTGAATAAATATGCTTATGGAAAACAACAAACGGTTAAGTAAACAAAACATCCAATCCTTCAAATGGGAATTCTCAAACGAACAACAGTAATTGACGATATTATTTAACAATGATGAGTTCTGACAGATAGGTAAGATTTAACATTAAGTTGTTAGTACTGGCATACGACATGAACAGGTTTAGAAAACTGGATTTTCAGTTTCAAAATTTAGGTAAGTTATTCGTTTAACGAATATTTCCGAACCTATTCACTTGGACCAATTTCAGGAGAGAAAAAAGAATCTTTGCTATAAGCAGGAATTAGAATGAGGTGCGATTCTAGATTTACATTGCCAGGGGCAGATCATGTTTAAAATAGAAAGAAAGGAAGAAAAAAAGCAATGAAATCGATAGATTCATCAGTTTTTATGATGTCTTCTGACCTAAAAAAATTTATTAATATTTTATCATGTGATGTACAGAAAATCCTGGCAAATGTTATTTCAGTTTCGACACGATTTCTATAACGGATGATTATCTATTATTCAATGATTTATTGAGATGTCAAATATTTTTCCATTTTTTATCACCAGAAACAGGCAAAATTCATGTTTTATTAATTTAATTTGATCAAAATCGCATGATATCGTGTTGCACGCAAAAATTTTAATATGTTGGAATGTAATTCGTTCAACTTCGAGTCTGTCTCACATTTAACGCCTGTTATAAGAATAAATAGGTTTTTAATATATTCCCCAATCATTAGAATTGGTTTATTTAAGTAGGGAAAGAAGGATTTTTGTAATAAACAAGTACATCATTCAAGTTTTTCCGATTCCCCTACAATCAGTTCACTCTTTCCCTATAGATACTTATTATATATATATATATAGGGAGAGAGTGAACATATAGTACAGTGTATATATATAGTCGAAATTCTATACTAAAGAGAGATGGATATTCAATAATAAAAACTGAAAAAAAAAATTAAATTGCAAGGTAACCAGACATAAGATTTTAGGAAGGATATATGAGAAATTAAAATATAATAGTTTACAATATAAAAATATGGATGCCACAATATTATAAACATTGCTGACTTAGGACAGCTCATACATAAAATAATTTATATAAAAGTGGGGTTGAACATGTTTTGTGGCCAGGCAACCTTCCCCTTTAGGTTAATAATACTGAGCAAAAACCTATTGAAAGTAATGGATAGAATATCTAAATCCATTACAAGATAAAAATAACTTACCTAAAATTGCATTCAAAAATGCAGAGCCCGAACTAAATCTGAGTACAATAAACAAGTTATTGCCAGATTATGGATTTAAATATATATCTAATTCAAATTTTCAATAATTAATAAAATACTTCCTATTCATCCATTTAAGTTCAAATACATTTTTTAAAACTTGTAGTGGATGACACTTGATTTTAATAGTTTTTTCAAATATTAATTCATAATTAAATTAAAAAATGAACAAATAGAGTAACAAACAAAAATAACAGTCCAACAGCATATATAGAAAGAAAAATCGTTCGTGGTGTCACTGTAGCGCAATGGATACCGCGTTGGACTTCTAATCCAAAGGTCGTGGGTACCCACATGTGATTGCCTAATTTCTGAGAATCTGATTTCTTTTTTACAAAACTATTTTACAAAAATAATTAAATTTAATGAATGAATAAATAGCAACAAAAAAAAATTAGTCCAACACCATGGACCAACAGAATGGAAAAATGCAAGGAAAATCGCTTTCTATTTTGTCACTTCATATTGTGATTCTGTTATATGTACATACATATTTATATTAATTGTAACTATTTAATAAAAAGTAGCTAAAATAAATATTTTCTTGGTTGACTTAAGTAGGTAATTGACTTGACTTTTTTTCTTAAATTACTTGTTTAAAAATATAATTTGTAAAGTGTATCATGAAAAATTAGTTAATGAAATATACCTGTAGTACCTGAATATTCAACATGTAATTCACATAAAATAATATCTACCACATGTACCTTAACAGAGAATGAGGCATTCACCCAATAGGAGTTTTAATTCCAATTTCTGCATTACTACCCCCCCCCCTTCCGACACAAAATACATCCCTTTCATACATTGTTGTTGTTTACAGATTGTTCCAATCATGACTTCCATCATTATGTTGATCTTCAGAACAGTTCTATTTTAATAACAGCTTTCGAAAAGAGAATGTTTTTGAGATTTGGTGATGAATGTTTTTCAAAAAATAAGTTTGCCTTTTACCTTTGATTACTTTAAAATTTTCAAAATTAAAGAGGAGCAATATTAAAGTATGGTACACATATTAAGTGATGTACGTAAAATTTTTACTTGGGACGGCTGGTTTCCAATTCCATGCTGTTTACTGCATTATATTTATAGTTGTTGTTGTGAAGTTAACTTACCTCTTTTGCCACGATGAATTTTGTTGGCTTCGATCCGATGTTATTGTCGATCGGATGCGATAAGTAACAACAAAATTTGATTGTGGATTTATGTTAAGTATATTGAGTATGAATAAAATCTTAAGAATGCATAACACCCGAGAAATTGATCTTGAAGTTTTTTTAAAGATTTATTAAATATCTTATGTAATTATAAAATAATTTTTTAATAAATAATTATAATAATATTTTATTTATAATATATTGTATTTCATATTATAAAACTATTTGTAACTAATTTTTACATAAAATGTCATTTAATATTTATTATAATATATTTTTATAACAAAAATATTATTTATTAATAATTATATTCATAAAATATAATGTAAATATTTATATAATCACAGTAATCATTTTACTTTTTAAAATACAAAAAAAATTATCTAAAATATCATTTAATACTTAATAAGCCTTTATTAAATAAATTTATTTAATTGTAAAAATAATTTTAAATGAGTATAAAAGTTAAAAAAAAAAAAAAAAACGATCGCGCGCCCCCTTCCTTGGCCGGCCGCCGAGTACACAGGTACTCTATCACTATGCCACTGCATCGCTGTCGCTAATTAAAACTTAATTGCATAAAAGCTTAGCATGAATTTCGAAGGCTATTTTCTCTGAAATGACTGGCGATTCGGCGGAATCACATTGAGGGTTGAACACCCTACAAGAGTACTACTATTACACAAAGCCTCGTCCCCAAATGAATTTCCTTAGTCGTGCCCTCCCCCCCTTGTCAGTGTGATTCTTTCGTATCAATTAATGCTATAAGTACGCAAAATGATGTACATATTTCCTTGTTGTTTTAAAACTATTAAATATCTTTCTGAATGGCATTTATACCAGGCTATCTCTTTTGCGAGGTTCTCTCTCAAAACTAACTGTAATAGTTTAAGTTTTATTTAAGTTTAAACGTTTCCTCCTCACAGTGGAAATGTGATTTGCAGGTTTGTTCTAACATGCAAAAGTGAGAGACAGAGAGATAAAAGTTAGTTAGCCGAGTAGCTGTGATTTTCAATACTAGTTGGAACGTTTTCCGATTCAAATGTATAGTTATCAATACCTTGTCTAGATTCGGGCATTTTATTCATCATGAGAAACTCTTGGGACAAATCTCATTCAGCCAAGGATTCGATTTACCTTTCAAAAACTCCTTCCTTTTTACTGGAAACTCAGAATCAAAGGCTCTGCTAACTTTTTGAGGCTTACAGATAGCAGTGCCTTTTAATCATTTAATCGATTAATCTTCATCGCATACCCTGAGGTAGGCTAATACAAAATAAAAAAAATTAATTTTTTGTGTGTTTGTGATTAATTCCGTGTATCTTGTATCATGCCGACTATTCCTACATAAGATCGGGTTTGAATCACAACCTTTCGAGTTGCTTGAGTTTTGTCTTCGGGCATGTGGGTTATAAGCAACCCTCAATCTCGTATCTGCATTAGCTTTGATGATGGACAGCAAAAGTGGATTTTATCATGCTGACGAGAAACATATAGGCGATTGGTCAAGCGGCAAGGTACCAGAGGGCGTGTCCATAGGAGAAGAAAAATTGTCAAAGTTCAAGATTTTGATGTGAGTTGGGAGAGTTGATAGACACCTTTCCGATTGGTTTATGGGCAGTAAGAAAATGGCTCTGATTAACTGCCAAGGAGGTGCTAAAAATGGGAAGGGCAATGTCCAGAATGAGATACGAGAAGGGAAACAGTTACAAAGAACTTTTTAAAAAGATAAATTAAGCAAATATTATCTGCAATAATAAAAATTACTACAAGAGGAAGAATTTAGGAGGATTGTGCAAATCTAGAATTCTTCTAGGACGTTACCTCTTACTATGTGAGCTTTTCGAGTGGGAAACTTTCGTTAGAAATTCAGAGTTAGGTTGTGATCACTACACATTAATCATGTGAAAATTATTTCTTTGTCGCAATATTCCAATGATGGGGAAAAAAACAAAACCCCGAATTCTAAAAGTAATTTTGCATTACATCAAGATATGGTATAGTTAAGCACGAAAATGAAATACTCCAAACCTTTCTGTAGTATTTATATTTGAAGGAATAAAACAAATTCGAATTACATTGGATATTTTGTATTCTACAGAAAAAAATAAAATATTAGTCAATAATTAAACTTTTTAAAAACATAAAATAAAATTTTTTAAAAAAAGAGGTTTTAATTTAACTGAAGGAATTTTTAACGTACTTTGGCAGCTTCAGACACTAAGAACAGAGACCCATAATATATAAGTACAGACCATCTTCTTTTTTACAAAAAAATATCAAGCATTACAAATCCTTACAATATAAAAATTAGGGGGGATGCATCCCTCCCTTTCCACCTATTTTATGAAAACAGGAAAATATACTTTACAAAAAAAGCATATTCAGTCATTATTTCTAGAATATACAAACACCGCCTCGAAATTTTACGCATAAGATACAAAAAATCGCACTTAAAAAGTTTTTGATTTTTTAATAATCTTAAAAGAAATTTCCGGTTCAAGTTTGTATTCTCGTTATTCACGATTAGGGGGGCAGGACATAGTTTTTTTTTTTAAAAAAAAAGAATGTTAAGATTTAGTTTTCAACACTTTCATAATTGATGACCAAACATGGCTGGTAAAACACACAAACATGTAGTGGCCCTTGCATAAAATCACCCAGAAGTCTTTATTATGATAAATACGCCCAGTCAAAAGAGATTACTTGAACACCCCAAGGAGTAATCTCGTCCCCAGACATCGCAGCGCAAGCGGCCACACACAACAAAACACTTTACAATTCATAAAGTTTTGTTTTTGGGAATGAAAACGGGGGATGGGATGAATTTAAAAGGAAAAAAAAAAAAAAAGGTCCACGCATGATAGAGGAAGCACTAACGACTTTTGAAGGCCTTTGGAGACAAATTTAGGCGTTATTTAAGAACTCGAGGGAAGAACAATTTATTGGCCCGTAATGAGCAAAAAACGCTCGCAACGATTGCCATTAATATCCCCACGATAAGAAACTGCGCTGCCCCCAGAAGAATGCATTAAAGTGTCGCGGCGAGTTATCTCAGTTTTAAATCGAAATCGCAGCAAGCTCATCAGCAGCTTGAAATCTCAAGGGGAAAAAGAAGGGGGACCGATAAGATTACGCTTAAAAGAGGACGGAAAAAAGGAAGAAACTTAAAGCACTTATTTTAGAAGAGATTATTTTGGGGGTTAAGTTTATACGAAAAGTTCACCTAATGTTTGACCATAACGATGCCACCGACGTGACAATTGAGTTATCAATAGGGATGAGGAAATTTAATCCATTATAGCAAAGGGCTTGGCTATTTTCCACACAATGATTTTCTACTTCTATTGAACGGATAAGAAGGAACAAAGAAATGAAATGCAAAGAAATTAAAAGATCCTGTAACCTCATTGCAATAATTATCAATGAATAATTCTGAAACTGTCTAATAGCAGTTATCATAATAGAAGACAAAAATATAACAAAATGACCGTGTCTTTGTGGTTCAGCCAATATTCATATAGTCTGGGGGAGGAGGATTGAAACAATCTTCGATTTTAAAATTTAAGTTTCCGAGAAACTGCTTTTTAAACCCTGTGAGGAAAGAGAAAGGTTTGTTTGGAAGAAGTGGAAAATCGAGTTCATGAGCCGACATTGAAATTTTTCCACTCCACTCACCAACATGTTTGATAATTTTACCGCGGCCCACCGATGATAGGACGTTGATTGTTTATATTTTAGATTGTGTTGATTTAATAATTTTACTTTAATTGTATTTAAATTTGCCTTCAGAATGAAATAGTTACACCTACAAAGGGATTTAAAGTGATTTAACACGGGATATAAACTGATTTTCACGGATAGTTTGCACAAACCCGAGAGAAATACTCCAGAGTAAATTAAATGGAAATAATTTTATGTTCCTTGAGCGGCCGGTACCATTTGGACCGGTCAACAGTCCGCGGCTCGGAGGTTGGAGATACTCTAGGTAAACACATTAGTGTTTCGTTTTAGATTAAAATGGAAAGAGATAAATATAAGCAGTATACAACACTTAGTGCCTTTTCTCGTAATAAAATAAATTAGAATCTATCGATGAATAAATAACTCATAAAATTTGCTTAAAATTCATACTTTCCACAATT